GAAAGGTTTTGAGACCGGCCTTGAAGGAGGAAAGGGAGGAAGCGGCGAAGGCACTGGGGGATGGAGTTCCAGAGCCTCGGGGCTGAGAGGCTGAAGGCCCGACCACCGATAGTAGGGCGGTTGGGGCGGGGGACGTGGAGCAGACCGGAGCCAGAGGAACGGAGGGTACGGGCAGGTAGGTAGGGGGATAGTAGGTCGGAGAGGTAGGAGGGAGCGAGGCCGTGAATGGCCTTGTAGGTGAGGATGAGGATCTTGAATTCGATCCTCTGGGGGATGGGGAGCCAGTGGAGGCGAGCGAGGGCGAGGGCGAGGGCGAGGGCGAGGGTGGGAGTGATGTGGTCGCGGTGTCTGGTGCGGGACAGTACACGAGCTGCAGAGTTCTGAATGACCTGCAGTGTGGAGGGAGGGCCGGGAAGGCCGACGAGGAGAGAGTTCCCATAGTCCAGCCTTGAGGTGATAAAGGTGTGGACCAGAGTTTCAGCCGCGTGAGGGGTGAGGTAGTGCCGTAGTCTGGCGATGTTCCGGAGGTGATGGAAGGCGGTGCCAGTTGTGGTGCGGATATGAGGGAGAAAGGACAGCTCAGGGTCGAACAGAACCCCGAGGTTCCTGATGGCTTTGAGAGGTGGAGAGTGCGGAGCTGATGCTGTCAGCGCCTGAGGTGCGGAGGCGCTGACGTGAGCCAATCAGGAGGGCCTCAGTTTTGCGCACGTTGAGCTGAAGAAAGTTGTCTCTCGTCCAGGACTCGATGTCGGACAGACAGCTGTCAGGACATCGGGGGTCGTGGAGTTGAGGGTAGAGGAGGAAAGGTAGAGTTGGGTGTCATCCGCATACATGTGGAAGTTAACCCCATGTCTGCGGATGATGTCACCACAGGGGGAGCATATAGAGGGTGAAGAGGAGGGGACCGAGGACAGAGCCCTGAGGGACACCGCACGAGACAGTGCGGGGGGTGGAGGAAAAGCCGTTTGTGGAAACAAAGTGAAGACGGTGGGAGAGGTACGACCTAAACCACTCAAGGACAGTGCCTTGAAGGTTGAGGTGGGAGGACAAGCGGTGGAGGAGGATAGAGTGGTCGACCGTATCGAATGCTGCCGATAGGTCGAGGAGGACGAGGAGGCAGAGGGAGCCCTGGTCACAGATGGTCAGGATGTCATTGGTGACCTTGACCAGGGCAGTTTCTGTGCTATGGGCAGCACCGAAACCCGACTGAAGGGGTTCGAATAATGAATGGGTGGAGAGGAAAGAGCGCAGTTGGGAGGACACAACTGGTTCCAGGACCTTGGACAGGAAGGGGAGGTTGGAGATGGGCCGGAGATTGATAGCTGCGACGCATCAAGGGAGGGGTTTTTCAAGGTGGGAGTGATGGTGGCAGTTTTTAGGGGAATGGGAATAGAGCCACAGGAGAGGGACAGGTTGATGATGTCTGTGATAGGTGGGGCAAGGAGGTGGAGCTGAGAGATAAGGAGTGGAGTAGGGATGAGGTCAAGGGAGCAGGTGGTGGGTTTCAGGGACAGGATGAGTTTGGTGACAGAGGGTGGGGAAACGGCTTCGAAGGTATGTAGGGGGAGATGGGTAGGAGTCGGAGTGTGGGAGGAAAGGGGTGGGGGGGTCGGTGGGAGTCGGAGTGTGGGAGGGATGGAGTGGGGGGGGTGGGTGGGATTCGGAGTGTGGGAGGGAAGGGGTGGGTGGAAGTTGGAGGGGGAGTGACCGCGGAGCGGATTCCCTTGATTTTGGATTCAAGGAAATCCAGCATCTCCTCGCAGTGAAGGTTGGAGGAGATGACCTGCGCGGGGTGGCGGGGGGGACGGAGGAGTCGGGATGTGGTAGAAAACAGAAGCATGGGGTTGTTCTTCGCCGAGGCTAGAGTGGAGCGGTAGATTTTGAGGAGGTCCAGCCAGATTTGTCGGTGGACCATTAGGCCAGATTTGACGCAGGTGTGTTCAGCGGCCCACACCTGGCTCTTCAGTGAGCGGAGGTGGGTGGTGAACCAGGGGGAGGAGCGAGAGTAGGAGACAGTACGGGAGGTGATGGGGGCAAGAGTATTGAGTGTGGAGGAGAGGGTGTTGTGGAGGAGGGTGAGAGGAGAAGAGGGGTCTGTGAGGGTTGAAGGCCAGAGGGAGAGGAGTTCAGAGGACTCCAAGGCAGCGGTTAGGGATTGTGGGGGTAACTTCTTCCAGGGGCGATAGAAGATGGTGGTGGGTCTGGTGGAGGTGGGGAGGGGGGTGGAGGTGGTGAAGGAGATGAAGTGGTGGTCAGAGATGGCCTTGTCGGTAATGGTGACATCCGAGGCACTGAGGCCCCGGGTGATCACCAAATCGAGTGGGTGGCCGTGACTGTGAGTGGCGGAGTTGATGTGGAGGGAGAGGTTGAGCGAGGAGAGGAGGGAGGAGAAGTCCGAGGAGATGGAGCAGGAGGGGGTGAAGTGCAGGTTGAAGTCGCGCAGGATGATGAGGCAATCAGAGCAGAGGCTGAGAGATGTTAGTACGGTAGAAATATCGGAGATGAAGGTGGGAGAGGTTTTAGGGGCCGGTAGAGGAGGATTTTGAGTGAGAGGAAGTAGGGGTGGGAGAGGGTGAGGTACTCAAAAGAGGGGAAAGAGCCAGAGGAGTAGGGGGAGAGGGCAAGTGGTGTCCTTGAGATAAGGGCTACACCACCGCCACGGCGGTTGGGGCGAGGGATGTGGTGGGAGGTGTAGCGGGTGGTGTGGCCTCCGTGAGGGGGAAGGTGTCGCCTGGGGTGAGCCAGGTTTCCGTTAAGGCCATGATGTCAACGCTCTCATCAAGGATGAGATCGTTGATGACCAGGGCCTTGTTACAGAGGGAGCGGACTCTGTAAACAGAGTCTCCAAACCAAGCTGAGAATTCCATACATCCCACCTACACATGGAAATTCCAAAGATATTTGGTGAATGGAATGTGCCCTCTCTCTCGCTCTCTCTTCTCTCTCTCCCTGGAGGGACACGTCCTGTTTACCTAATTCCGGAAAGTATTAGGCACAGGTTGGCAAGAGCGAAAGCTTGGGAACCCCAGAGTGTGTGTTGGGGTAACTGCTGGAGTCTAACCAGCTAAACCCACACAGCTTGCTGTTGAGAGCACTGCATGGCAAGCTTTCCCACTGCTCGTCCAGCTAGGATCATCCTACCCATTAGGGCTTTGGCTGCAGGGTTAACAGGAGCTGAGGGGGATGACTCTGCTCCCAATAGATACCAGGCCTTGAATCTACAAATGTGTGTTCACACTCAGAATAAGGTAACACTTACCAGCAACTATCGCTCCAAGCCTGTTTCTGCAACTGACAAGACACCTGCGTTCAATGTGGTGGGAGGACCTTTACAGGATAGCTTGTGACGTGCCAGCCACCTTGATGTTCTTGAGGTCCAATGCCATGTACTAGACTTACTCAGCACCAGCTGCTTAATCCAGGTCTTCAGACGAGGACAAATAGACTTGTGCGTTGTGAAACCACCTCTGCCTCCAAGATGCTCAGTCAGGTCAGTGTAGGTTGGAGCCATCCCTCGCTGCAGCCACTTCCCACAAATCCATCTCGTTGCTTGATAATACAAAAGGGTGGGAGGAAGCCTCTCGACTGCACCCGCAGGAGCTCGGATCCAACAGGAGTACCTGTTGCACAAAAATCTTATCTGCCATAAACGTTACCTGTGTTGGGACCTGCTTTCCTTGAAGAGACGAACACAACCAAGCTGTCCCTCTGCCCGTTATTTGATTCTTGCTTTGTAATAAGCTATTCTATGAAGCACTTTGGGACGTTGCAACAATCTGATAAGCCGCCACACCAAATACCAGGATTATTATACGATCTGGAGCTGTGTACTAATCTAACTACAGTCTGCACATTACTGCACTGGAGCTCAGGCTGTACAGTAAGATTGGGTTCCTTACCATATAGGAGACCCCAACTCCTGGCTTTAGGATGGTGTATTCAAAGCCACCCCACCCTCCCACAAACAAACGTAGACTTTTTAAACCAAATTTTTTTTATAACAATTTGGAATTGCTGAAGAGATTAATAAACTTCTTGCCTTAGGTTGAGTTTCAGTAAACACAAGACTCATTGTCCTTACAGAAAGCCGCAATGTTTATAAATTACAAGACCAGCTGGAATATAAAGTGTTTATATACAAAAAGCAACAACAAAAAAACAATATTAAGAATAAGAGTCTGGATAAACCCAGGTTTGGAATACAATAAAACTCACATAAGTCTTATCTTCATAAATCATATAATTGCCCAAGTCGTACATTCACCCAAGTCCCATTCAGGTTCCTATCAAAATCACTTAGATTTCTTTGCATTAGTCGTATTAATCATCTCGTAACTCGTAACACGCTACCCTATCCTGCACTTACCGACTGTCTTGAATTGCGGGAAACGTAGTCTTGACCTGTCTCTACACACGCACGCACGCACACACACACACACGCGCACGCACTCACCAGCTGCGTTGAATTACACATGCATAATGTATTGATTAAATCGATTTTATACAACTTATAAAAGTTTGCCTGCAACTTGGGAAAGTCATATTAAATGTTATGGTCCTGACTGATGCGACTTATGTGAGTTTTACATGAAACCAAGTCAATATGACTTGTAGAAGTTTTCCTGGAGCAACAACAACAAATTACATTTGTATAACGCCTTTCACGTGAGGAGGACGTCCCAAAGCAGGAGATCAATTCTGAGGAACAACATCACAGGACAACCAAAACCATCAGAAGCCTTCGGTTGTTATCTTGAATTCCAAGTTCAGAGAACATTTTCAACGTTGTTAGAAGAGAGTCCTGGTGTTTCACTTGGTTTGAGTTTTGCAACAATTGAGCTCAATTTGCTGCTTCAAAACACACGTTAATTCTGCTTCAATGTGTTGAAAAGAGGCCAAATAATAATGACTGATGTGGCACTGAGAGTGGAGCTACCTCAAAACCCAAAGATGCAGAAAAGTTTTCCTCATCTTTATTCATCTTCCTGATATCTCAGCCCTCAAATCCCTTAAGCTTAAAAAATCATATCTTATCATTTAAAAATAAAATATTGGAATTCTTAAATTCACTTTATACTGAAGTTGGAAGCCAGTTTCTTTTTCAGAGCAATTTTCAAATGAAGATCGACTTGAAGAATTTTCCAAAATAGCTAATGTGGAAATTAAGTCACTCCTCCCAGCAGCCATGTTCTCTAGTAAAAGCCACCGTTAAAAGTCTTTAACCTGCGCTCCCACACACTGTACATGACACTGCCTCCCTCACTAAAAATTCTATTGCATCTTCGTCTTTACAACAATTTTGTCTTGAAATTTAACTTCACACAGAAGAGAACAATTCTTAAAATCAGTCTTAATTTGGAAATACTTGGATTTGGTTTAGCACTTTTTATGCTGGCTGTCTCAAAGCGATTCATAGCATTTACTGTAAAGTGTAGTGACTGTGCAGTAGCCAATTTGCATAAAGCAAAAACACGGATGAAATGACCACTTTTCTTTGGAGGGGCAAGAGAAGAATTGATGGCCAGGTTACTGTGGGAAACTCCCTTTTCTTTGGGTAGGGCCATGGCATCTTTAAGCCTGTTTACAACGTATTTAAAAAGAACAGATTTCCAAAACGTAAGTAAGAGCATTCTACTCGACCTTAAACATTAAGAGAGTGGTTCACAGGCTGGAAATTCCAGTCTGCAGCTTCTTGAGATGCTTATTTTCCCCAGAAATGGATTTGCTTCCTTGAGGCAGATCTCTGCCTAAACAGTCCGTGTGTTTAAACATGGTTTAACCTTTGGCTCCTGCATCCAACAGCTCCCACTTCTCAGTCAGTGTTAGAAACTGCATTTATACAATCTTACAAACCAGGGACACTTTTCCAGTGAATTAAATTATTAGATTGCAGTAAAGGCCAGTTATCCGGAGAATCAGCAGGATCAGTAGCAGTGGGACCTTGTCCTTTGGAAATGCTTGCATAGCGTCAGTTATTAGTACATTGACACTGCATGATGAAGGCACTGATAGCGTAACAGTATTGCATTGCTTTGTTGCATTAAAGCTATTACTTGTTTGACTGGGGCCTGGAGTCACTGCTCCCAGTCTGAGCACTCCAGCTGACGTGCTCTCAGTAATGTCTGTCTCCCACCAGAATCCAGTCCTGGTCTTTACACGCTGAGCTTCGCTGGATGAATCATCATTGTTGTAGCTTTCAGGGAGTAATTTCTACCTTTCCAGGGCTTCCAGAATATTCCTTGCTTCCTCTCGAGTCGCTGTCGTGGCCTGGTGGCAAAGTACCTGCCGTTCAGGTTTGCTTGTCCACAGCTGCTGAACCACCAGCCTCCTGCACAATACACCACAGTTACCAGACAATTCGCACAGGACCTGGCTGGCAAATGTGTACCGCAGGGTAATACAATCCTTGCATTTGATAGAGTGCCTTATCACGTCTTAAAGACGTCTCAAAGCGCTTCACAGGATATACTCTAAAGTGAGTTGATTGTATATTTTGAGGGTGAAACGTGGCAGCCAATCGCGCACAGCAGCGTCCCACAAACAGTCATGGATTGAGGGACCAATTTTTAAGGAATTATTACCCTCGGAAAAGCGATCCACCAATCGACTAACAACTGGGTTCCTACTAACTGCGGGGTAAGCAGAGGTGTGTGGGGTAAGGAAACTTGCCCAACGTTTCGCCCTGCCTGCCCGGGAATCAAACCCAGGTCCTCCCGCTTGCGAGTCGAGCTCTAACCACTGAGCTACAGGACTCCACAGGATGTAGGATTAACGACTCAAAGCACTTCACAATCTCCAAAAAGGGAAGAGGACAGAGCAGCAAATTAAAGCCTCTCAGACCTGCTGTGAAACTTGGCCCCACATTTTTCAAGAGAATAAGCCTGATCAGGGACTGGACAGAAGCTGAAAAGTGAAACAGGGGTAACAAATAGATAAGTCAGGCAGCAGAATAAAATACAGCAAGAATATTAAATGAGGGGTTTGGGGGTGATGTTCACCTGCAAATACATAGTCACTACACTACAGTAAATCACAGACATTTTTGTGACATGATCATAGAATCATAGAATATTACAGCACAGAGCTACCCAATCAGTCCGCTCTCCCGCTCTTTCCCCATATCCCTGCAAGTTTTTCCTTTTAAGTATCTATCCAATTCCCTTTTGAAAGTTGTTATTGTAGCTGTTTACACCACGTTTTCAGGCTGTCCATTCCAGACCGTAACAACTTGACGGCTCTTTTGCTAATTATCTTAAATCTATGTGCCCTGGTTACTGACACACCGGGCAGTGGAAAGATTCTCCATATCTACACTATCAAAAGCCCTCATGATTTTGAATAACAATAAACAACAAATTACATTTGTATAAGGCCTTTCACGTCGAGAAGAATAGTGTGGTGATAATGTGGGGTATCAAATGCAACAGTTAATATTGTGTGTGGCAGGGCGTGCAGTGTGGTGACCCAGACCCCGGCACACTGACCTGTCAGGTGCTGAGCACAACTGCTGTCCAGCTTCAGGTCGTGGTCCTGGTCGCGGGTGGAGAAGCGCAGGCCACTGGCCGGGCTGATGGCAATGCGAAGGCTGCCGGACACAGCACTGCCGAGGCTCAGTGTGTAGTGAGTGGCCTCGCTGCCCAGGTGGAAGGGATAGTCCATGTGCTGCGTGTGGTTATCCCAGTCCTGCAGCTCAATGCGAAGGATGTGGTCTCCCTGGCCAGTAACAGCACACACCTTCTCCAAACCCAACCAGAATTCACCTGAAATGAGGAAGGCAGTAAGGAACAGGCATGTACCCAGCTATAGTGACCATCTGGGGGAGGTGAGCAGGATCTTCTCTGAGCTGAAATGGCTCCAAGGTGATACGTTTGGCAAAGGAATGTCAGAATTGAGCCCCCACTCACTCTGTGGCAGTCTCTACAACAACAAATGACTGGTCTCTAATCTAGTTCCTGAGCCAAAACAGAGAGAGCTGGGAAAACTCAGCAGGTCTGCAGCATCTATGGAGAAAGGAAAGTGAGTCAAAGTTTCGGGTCCACGACCCTTCGGCAGAACCTGAAACGTTGACTCACTTTCCTTTCTTCATAGGTGCTGCCGGACCTGCTGAGTTTTTCCAGCTCTCTCTGTTTTTGTTTCAGATTCCAGCAGCTGCAGTATTTTGTGTTTAGTTCCTGAGCCAGGTGGGGCCACGGTACTCCAGGCCACTGTTGATGACAGCACAGCCCATCGGCAGGACTTGAAAGGGCAGACAGTCTGTAAAGTGAATTCACTGTATATTTTGTGGGAGAAAATATTAACCATGCAACCAAAGAGCCACTTTGCACAAAATCCTAACACATAAAGAATATCTACATTAACAACTCGAACAAAAGATGTAGTGCGTTTATCTAAACAAGGTGACCGTGACAGATAAACCTTTATAAAATCCTGGTGAGGCCTCAGCTAGAGACTGGGTTCAGGGCTACGGAGAGAGAGCGGGGGAGTGGGGTTGATCAGGGCTATGGGGAGAGAGTGGGGGAGTGGGGTTGATTTGGAAGTTCTTTTCAAAGAGCCGACACAGACACGATGGGCCGAATGGCCTCCTTCTGTGCTGTGTAGTTCTATGATTCTATGACAGAATCATCCCAGTTAGCTCCTGTAAATCCTGCAAGCCAAAACCTAACAGGTAGGATGGTCCTTGCTGGACAAGGAGTAGGAAAGCTTGCTCTCAATTGCAAACTATGCGGTTTTAGCTGGTTGGACTCCAGCAGTTATCCCAACTCTGGTGCCTCCAAGCCTTGGTTCTGGCCAACTTGTGACTAATACTCTCTGGAATTAGGTAAGAAGGATGCATTTCCTAACTAATTCCGGGCAGAGTGCATATTCTGTTCTAAAATACAGGAATTTTCAAGCAAGTGGCATGTTTGAAACGGTTTGGTTTGGATACTCTTAAGCGCAGTGATGGGTTTCCGTGCACCAGACACCCGGTTAACCAAAAGCACATTTCTGCCCTCTCTTCCCCCCTCCCTCCATATAAGAAAGCCAGACCCTGAACCACACTTACTGTTCAAGTTGCCAAAGCCGTTTCTGTATTCCTGCCAGAGTCGGTCAAAGTTCACGGTGCCATCCATTCTGCGCTGCACAACTGTCCAGCCGCCCTCTGCCGAGAGAATATGTCACGGGAATCAGGTGTAAACTATGTAACCCTGGACCTGAGCTCCAAGTGACAGCAAAGCTGGTTACTTACCTGCAGTCATCTGGCAGAAGGCGGGGAAGGGCAGTGCTGTCCCTGGCTGGATTCTGTACACGCCATTGGCTCGCTCTCCTGCCAGATACACCTGGTCACAGTCAGAGGGCAGCTCTACGAGAAAGTGTAAAAGTGTGTGAGGATTGACTCCTCATGCTCATTGTCTTATACCAATCCAAGGAACCCAGCACCATACCAACATCAGCTAGCCATCAGCCTGGCTTAAAGTCAGCAGGACTCTTGCTCTGAGTCGGAAGGTTAAGGGTTCAGTCACAGTCTGGGCTGAAACTCCAGTGCAGTGCTGGTGGGAGCACTGCATTGTTGGGGCTGCCATCTTTTGGATGAGGCAAAAAAAAAAAGGTCCAGTCTGCCTGTTCAGGTGTTATTAAAGATCCCATGGCTTGCAGAGGCAAGTAGCTGCTGCTTAAATTCCACACCTCCAAATGGTGAAACCATTGCTCAATGGGAAGAGATGTGTGCCCGAGCTGTGGACAGAAAGATGGTGAAAATACTCTCATGCATTTCATGCATGTGTTGCCCATCAGGAAGCTTGCAGGGAGTTCCTGGCCCTACCATCCAGGTAGAGTCCCTTCAAGGAGAGAGAGCCCATTGCATTCCAACTCTCTCGCTTTGGGATTTCCATATGGAGGTGGGATGCAAGGAATTCTCAGTTTGAGTTGGATACTCTTAAGCACGGTGATGGGTTTTTTGTGGAGTCCTGTAGCTCAGTGGTTAGAGCACTCGCTTTGCAAGTGAGAGACCTGAGTTCAATTCCAGGCAGAGGGCGAAACCTTGGGCAAGTTTCCTTACTCCACACAGAGCCTAATAATAATCCCTCCAAAACCAAAAACAATAATAAATTGGTCATTTTCAATCTACGACTGTTTGTGGGACATTGCTGTGCGCAATTGGCTGCCGCGTTCGCCCACAAATATACAGTCAATTCCTCCGGACGTGAAAAGCGCTATATCAAATGCAAGGATTATTGTTATTATTATTTTGATGTGTCTACCAACCAAAACCTCCCTCCTTCCCATCCATAAAGATCCCACAGCGCTACTGAGAAAGAGAAAGGTCAACAATCCCCCAAATAAAGTTGGTCGGGGAGCGGCAGCAGGACAGCGCGGGGAGGAGCCTGGGCCTACTGACCCAGGTACTTAAACTCGACGCCGGAGCGAGTGCAGCCCCGGGGGGAGGGGAGGGGGAGGGGACGGAGCGGGGGAACTGCGACGTCATAGATTAGTTTTCAGGTGAGTGCGCGCACACAAAAAAAAAAAAAAAAAAAAACCTCTGCGCCCCCCCCCCCCCCAGGGCTCACATCAGAGCCCACTATGGTCCTGTTGGGTTCGATGCCCCAATCTGCGGGATAATGCCATCCACCTGACCGCTCGCTCCCGGTCCCCGCGTGCGCACTATGGCTGCCGCTTTGACCCGAGCCCCCTCACCCCCTCCCTCCCTCCCCCCTCCTCTCTCCCCCAAACCCTCCCCCCTCTGCATCTCTCCCGCTCTCTCCTCCTCTCTCTCCGTCCCTCTCGTCTTCTATCCCCACTTGACCCTCCCACCCCCTCCCTCTGTTCCAGTCTGGGAATCCTCCGCCGGGCTCACCGCGGCACTCGGCGTTGGCTGTCCAGCAGCAGCCACACCGACTGCCCCATTCCCCACCACACTCGCCAGCCACCCCGGACACAGACCCGGGGAGTCAACCTCTCCTCCCTCATCCCCATTCCCCCCACCCCTGCCTCACAACCTGGACCCCCCTCCCCTCCCACACACCCTTCTGTCAACCGCTCCCTCCACATCGGACTGCAAAATGTCCGCTCCCTCTGCAACAAGGCCCTGGTCATCAACGATCTCATCCTTGATGAGAACGTTGATATCATGGCCTTAACAGAAACCTGGCTCACCCCAGGCGACACCTTCCCCCTCACGGAGGCCACGCCACCCGGCTACACCTCCCACCACATCCCCCGCCCCAACCGCCGTGGCGGTGGTGTTGCCCTTATCTCAAGGACACCACTTGCCCTATCCCCCTACTCCACTGGCTCTTTCCCCTCCTTCGAGCACCTCACCCTCTCCCACCCCTCATTCCTCTCCCTTAAAATCCTCCTCCTCTACCGGCCCCCTAAAACCTCTCCCACCTTCATCTCTGACATTTCAACACTCCTCACATCTCTTTGCCTCTCCTCTGATCGCCTCATCATCCTGGGCGACTTTAACCTACACTTCACCCCCTCCTGCTCCATCTCCACAGACTTCTCTTCCCTGCTCTCCTCACTCAACCTTTCCCTACACATAAACTCCCCCACTCACAGTCACGGCCACCCACTCGATTTGGTGATCACCCGGGGCCTCAGTGTCTCGGATGTCACTATTACCGACAAGGCCATCTCCGACCACTACTTCATCTCCTTCACCACCTCCACCCCCCTCCCCACCTCCACCAGACCCACCACCATCTTCTACCGCCCTTGGAAGAAGTTACCCCCACAATCCCTAACCGATGCCTTGGAGTCCTCTGAACTCCTCTCCCTCTGGCCTTCAACCCTCACCGACCCCTCTTCTCCTCTCTCCCTCCTCCACAATATCCTCTCCTCCACACTCGATACTCTTGCCCCCATCACTTCCCGCACTGTCTCCTACTCCCGCTCCTCCCCCTGGTACACCACCCACCTCCGCTCACTGAAATGCCAGGTGCGGGCTGCTGAACGCACCTTTGTCAAATCCGGCTTAACGGTCCACCGACAAATCTGGCTGGACCTCCTCAAAATTTACCGCTCCACTCTAGCCTCGGCCAAGTCGTCCTTCTACTCCAGGATAATCCTGGAGGCGAAGAACAACCCCAGGCTACTGTTTTCCACCACATCCCGACTCCTCCGTCCCCCCCGCCACCCCGCGCAGGTCATCTCCTCCAACCTTCACTGCGAGGAGATGCTGGATTTCCTTGAATCCAAGATCAAGGGAATCCGCTCCGCGGTCACTTCCCCTCCAACTTCCACCCACCACCCACCCCTTCCCTCCCACACTCCGACTCCTACCCATCCTCCCCTACACACCTTCGTACCCGTTTCCCCACCCTCTGTCACTGAACTCATCCTATCCCTAAAACCAACCACCTGCTCCCTTGACCCCATCCCCACTCCACTCCTTATCTCCCAGCTCCATTTTCTTGCCCCACACATCACTGACATCATAAACCTGTCCCTCTCCTCTGGCTCTGTCCCCATTCCATTAAAAACTGCCATCATCACGCCCACCCTGAAAAAACCCTCCCTTGATGCGTCGCAGCTATCAAGCTACCGGCCCATCTCCAACCTCCCCTTTCTCTCCAAGGTCTTGGAAAGAGTTGTCGCCTCCCAACTGCGCTCTTTCCTCTCCACCCATTCTCTTTTTGAACCCCTTCAGTCAGGTTTCCGTGCTGCTCATAGCACAGAAACTGCCCTGGTCAAGGTCACCAATGATATCCTGACCATCTGTGACCAGGGCTCCCTCTGTCTCCTCGTCCTCCTCGACCTATCGGCAGCATTCGATACGGTCGACCACGCTATCCTACTCCACCGCTTGTCCTCCCACCTCAACCTTCAAGGCACTGTCCTTGAATGGTTTAGCTCTTACCTTTCCCACCGTCTTCACTTCGTCTCAACGAATGGCTTCTCCTCCACCCCCCGTACTGTCTCATGTGGTGTCCCTCAGGGCTCTGTCCTCGGTCCCCTCCTCTTCACCCTCTATATGCTCCCCCTGCGGTGACATCATCCGCAAACATGGGGTTAACTTCCACATGTATGCGGATGACACCCAACTCTACCTTTCCTCCTCTACTCTCAACTCCACGACCACCGATGTCCTGACAGCCTGCCTGTCCGACATCGAGTCCTGGACGAGAGACAACTTTCTTCAGCTCAACGTGCGAAAAACCGAGGCCCTCCTGATTGGCTCACGTCAGCGCCTCCGCACCTCAGGCGCTGACACCATCAGCATCCAAGGCTGCACTCTCCACCTCTCAAAGCCAGTCAGGAACCTCGGCGTTTTGTTCGACCCTGAGCTGTCCTTTCTCCCTCACATCCGCACCACAACTGGCACCGCCTTCCATCACCTCCGGAATATCGCCAGACTACGGCACTACCTCACCCCTCACGCTGCTGAAACCCTGGTTCACGCCTTTGTCACCTCAAGGCTGGACTATGGGAACTCTCTCCTCGCCGGCCTTCCCGCCACCTCCCTCCACAAGCTGCAGGTCATTCAGAACTCTGCAGCTCGTGTACTGTCCCGCACCAGGCTTTGCGACCACATCACTCCCACCCTCGCTCGCCTCCACTGGCTCCCCATCCCCCAGAGGATTGATTTCAAGATCCTCATCCTCACCTACAAGGCCATTCACGGCCTTGCTCCCTCCTACCTCTCCAACCTACTATCCCCCTACCTACCTGCCCGTACCCTCCGTTCCTCTGGCTCCGGTCTGCTCCACGTCCCCCGCCCCAACCGCCCTACTATCGGTGGTCGGGCCTTCAGCCTCTCAGCCCCGAGGCTCTGGAACTCCATCCCCCAGTGCCTTCGCCTTGCTTCCTCCCTTTCCTCCTTCAAGGCCGGTCTCAAAACCTTTCTCTTTGACCGTGCCTTCAGCTCCCCTCTCGACTCTCTTCCTCCTCCTCGCTCCCTCCCTTCCCTCCCCTCACCCTGACCATTTCCCCCCCTCTCCCTCCCTTCCCTCCCCTCACCCTGACCATTTCCCCCCTGCTCGGGTCATGACCCAACTGTGCAGCGCCTTGGGACGTCCTCCTGACGTGAAAGGCGCTCTATAAATGGAATCTTGTTGTTGTTGTTGTTGTTGGTCCCTTACTTTGTGGCTGTTTGGGGGACATTGTTGGGTGCAAATTGGCTACTTCATTTACCCACAAATACAGAGTCTATATTTTGCAGTGTTGAAGGGAACTGTATAAACGCAAGTTGTTGTCTATAATGTAAAATCCTACAAAGCCTCTGACAATCTTAATAACGTGTTACATTGAACTCAAGGATTATTACTACAGAGGCAGCAGGGTAGAGAAGCAACACCCTCCTGGAGGTGGGCGTCAATGCGAAACGTGGAAATTGACCTCATGCTCCAACAACAACTTGTATTTATATAGCACCCTCCGCGCTGGGCGGCATCTCAGAGCGCTTAACAATGACAGAGGCCGGGCCGAGCCAGGGGGAGGGGGAAAGTGACCGTAGGCGCGCTCAAAGAGGAACGACTTCAGGCATGATCTGAAGATGAGGAAGGAGGAGGCAACGTGAAGAGGTTGAGGGAGTTCCAAAGTGGCTGAAGCATACATATATATGTATGTAGTTTAGTGGTGGAGTGGAGGATTGAGGGGGCACGGAGGAGGCCGGACCCAGTAGATTAGATCGGATGCAGCGGGTGCTGCTGTGGGGAGAGAAGTTAGAGAAATAGGGAGGTGCCAAGGAATGGAGGGATTTAAACACTAGAGTGAAGATCTTGAAGTCAATCTGCTCTGTGACAGAGAATCAGTGGAGTTTGGCATGGACTGGAGTAATCGGGGTACGAAGACTGGTGCGGGTAAAAATGCAGGAGGCGGAGTTTTCAATGAGCTGAATTTTGTGATAGTGGAGATGGGGAGACAGGCGAGGAGGGTGTTAAGAGTAGTCCAGCCAAGAGGTGACAAAGGCACGGACAAGGCAGCTTTCAGGTGAGGTGTTGTCAGAGATGGGTAATGTGGCAGTGGCGGAATAAAGCGATGCTGGTCAGGGACCAGATGTGGGGGAGGAAGGATTACTGGGGATCAAACCTGACTCCTAAGTTGCGCACAGGTTCAGAGAGTTTTAAGGACAGGTCGGGTAGGTTGAGGAGGTCGGAATCAGGGACAGAAGACGTCGATGGGAGCCAAAGAGTATGGGTTCCATGTTTAACTGCAGGAAATTACAAGCTGACAGCACATCAGGGACTGGGGATCGTAGCTGAAGGTGGAAAAGTAGAGTTGAGTGTCATCCGCATACATGTAGAAGTTAACCCCGTGCCTGCAGATGACATCACCGAGAGGGAGCATATAGATGAGGAAGAGAAGGGGCCAAGGATGGATCCTTGGGGTATCTGCCCCGCAGGTGACCGGGTGGAAGCAAGAAGAAAAGCCATTTGCAGAAATGTATTGCTGGCGGTTTGTGAGGCAGGACGCAAACCAAGTGAGTGCGGTCCCACTGAGGTGGATGATGGAGGATAGGCGGTGGAGGAGGATGGTGTGATCAACTGTATCGGATGCGGCGGAGAGATCCAGGAGGACGAGGAGGCAGAGGGAACCCTGGTCACAGATAGAGAAGATATCGTTTTTGACCTTTACGAGCGCTGTCTGTGTACTGTGGGCAGTCAGGGCAGAAACCGGATTGGAGGGGTTCGAGTAGGGTGTGGAGGGAGAGGTGTGCGCGAAGTTGGTTGACAACAATGCGTTCCACAGCTTTGGCAAGGAAGGGCAGGTTTGAGATAGGGTGGTAGTGCTCAAAGTTGGAGGGATTGAGGGTAGATTTTTTAACGAGGGGGGTGATGACTGTGGTTTTGAGGGGGAGTCAGACTGATTCTGAGGAGAGAGACTGGTTAATAGTGTCTACCAGCAGTGGGCAGAGGAGGGGGAGTTGGGTGATTAGCAGTTGGGGAAGGAGGGGTGTCAAGGCAGCAGGTGGTGGGTTTCATTGTGGTGATGGTGGACAAGGGAGGAAGGAGAGATGGGGGCAAATGAATGTATGATGGAGGCCGTGGTAGGAGGGTGGGGCGGGTGAGGGAGATAGAATGCGGGTCATGGTAGGCAACACAGGGCAGAAGGTTGAAGCAGCCAGGCGGACGTTGTCAATTTTAGAGGTAAGGAAGTCCATGACCTCTTCGCACTTGGCATTAGATGTGATGATTGAGCAGCTTGAGGGGGCGCATGGAGGAGGTGGTGGAGAATAGGATTTTGGAATTATTGTTGGCCTCCAGTATGATGTTTGAGTAGTATCCAGTTTTTGCTTGCGACAGGGAGCGGCGGTAGGTGTGAAGATGCTCGAGCCACAGCTGGTGGTGAACCGCGAGGTTGATTTTCTGCGCTCAAGCAGCCGGGTTTGGGATTGTGGGACGTGGAGATAGCTGTTCTACCAGGGGAAGCAGGTGGGTTTGGAGGCAGTCCTGGATTTCAGCGGGACAAGGGAGTTGAAGGTGGAGGAGAGGCGATCATGGAGCAGGTTGACTGCTGCTTCAGGGTCGCTGTGTGTGGAAGGCCAGAGGGATAGGAGGTCTGAGGATGAGAGGGCCTTTGTGAGGGTCTCGAGGGGAAGCCTTTTCCATGGGCGGAAAAGTATGGTTGAGGTCTTGATGGAGGGGAGAGGGATGCGAGAGGAGAAAGAGATGAGGAAGTGGTCTGAAATGGTCTCATCTGTGATGGACAGGTCGGAAATGTCAAGGCCACATGTGATGCTGAAGTCGAGGGAATGGCAACGGTTGTGGGTCGGAGAGTTGATGTGGAGGGTGAGGTTTAGGGAGAGGAAGGCAGTGAAGTCTGAGGAGGTGGTGCAAGGGGAGTTTAGATGGGGAGTTGAAGTCGCCCATTATGAGCAGGCATTCTGAGCTGAGGGACAAGGAGGAGGCGTGCGGAAATATCGGGAGAGGAAGGAGCAGGGGCTTTTGAGGGATGGTAAGCTAAGAGAATTTTGAGTGAAAGGGAGGAGGGATAGTAGAGGGTGAGGTGCTCAAATGAGGAGAAGCAGCCAGAAGAATAAGGGGATAGACAGAGGGAGTGTAGTGCTTGCGAGTGTAGTGACTGTAGCAGGAGGATGCTGTCTCAGTCTCAAGAGGGAAAGCCTATAGATAAGGACTAGAGGAGCAAGGCTAGAGCTAGGGGATGACTGTATGCAGTTGGCAAGGTTCCACGTGCTAATATAAGCAGCAGTTTGTATGAAGTGGTATAGCTTCCCCAAAGTGTTGCAATAATTGAAGCTGTGCGCCTGCACTGAGCCCAGCAGCTGTCAGACACACAGTCACAATCACCTACGCAGGAGGCCACAGGAACCAGCAGCAGCTTCTGGACAGGGCTGTATGTGCAGCCACAACCTTTCCCCTACTTCCACAGCCCCTCCCACCTCCCAAACACAGAGTTTACAGCCCCCACCGGTGGAGATGAGGCTGTAAACATGAACTTTCTCCCAGTTTCCCTGCTCCTCACCACAGCTTGTGGCCAGCCACCGTGCCCCACACCCACGTGTAGTCAGTCCGCTTTTGCTGCTCAGTCTCTGCCGGCAGGCAATGGCCATCCGTGGTGATCTCACAGCAGAAGAATCTGGTCTCAGCGTACTCAGGAGGTTTTGTGGTGTGTGTGCTTGTGGGGAGTCATGGAAGGTTATGCGTGGATGGGTGTGTGTGGGGGGGGGGCACGTCCTCTCAGGGTTGGGAGGTCCTGAGTGCACAGACGATGGAGTGCATACATCAGATCAGGCTGCAATACAATCGTATCCTCCACCCCCACTGTCCACATGATAATAATCATCCTTGCTTTGATGGGGTCATTGTGAGAGTAAGACACTTACTGGATGTAGAGCAGCATCTCTCTTCCCCCCTTTATTATAATAATACTCCGAGCGAGCCATTTTCTGGATAAAGTAATTATAGGGTGTACAAGTTAAAATGTAAAGAACTTTTTATCTCAAACTCAAAACTCAATTATTTTCCTTTGAATTCTGTGACTTCTTGGGCTGTGCAGATAGGTCAGAGAAACACCCCAAAGTAACTCCCACCCCCACCCCGCCTGGCTCTCACCCCTGACACTTTTTGCTGCCTCTCTGCTGCTGGCAGTGGAGGAAAGGTCATAGATGCAGGAACCATGGAGCTCTGTGGGAGGAATGCAGTCATCCAGAACACCCAACTCTGCATAAAGTTCAGGCTGGGAACTGTGCTGTGGTCACAGCAGCTTCACCTCTGCCTCACTTGGCTCAGTGCCACTAAACTTGACATTTTAGTCTGAAAACAAAAGCAGTGTTGAGAGCTGCTCTTCTCAGCAGATACTCTTGTAAAACTTGTCAGAGGTTCAACTTTAACCCAGTTGCCTGCTGCCTTTCATAGGCTACAAATAGTTGGTCTCTGGTAGCATGTTAGTGAGCAGGACACTGAGCACTGGCTCCGAAAACAGTTAGTCACAATTTGGGAAGTAGCATTTCTGCAGGAATCAGTACCTAGGAACTCAAGGCTTTATGCTGAGGGACCACTCGGGTGATGAGTCCCCTCGGCTGGAGCAAGCAGCAGATTTTCCCTCTTATTCCAATAATTGGCTTATGGACATTCTGCCTGATGCTGCACTGAGTACAGGACATAGTGAGCGAGCTGATCATCAGCTGCTTGGACATCTGATTAGCTTTTAATCGGCACACTCCTGAATATCTTTACTTCCAGAGTATCAATCTCAGTCTTACACTCGATTCTATGTGTTTACTCCCTGGCATTGGCTTTTGTTTCAGAATCAGGGCTCCCCTCAGCTTGTGTGTTAGGTGTGCGCGGGCTGGACTTACTGTGGGGCCTGGCTGGCTCCTTGCTGCTATTCTGGGTGGGCGAGCTCTCCTCCACTCTCCGCTTGAGAAGGGATCTCCATTTGGGACTCACGTTCAGGTTGTGTTTGCCTTCTCCCAGCTGTGGTTAGATAATGGAATCAGGTTACTCAGGTGCAATTCAAACTAGTTTAGGATCTTATTTTCTCTCGTTGGGGGACTAGATGCAAGGATTTAAGACAAAGACATTTACTGTGGAAATAGAAAAAAATGAAGCAACTGACAATACAAGACACATTTGTGTCCTGCCGAAGTGTGGGAGGTGCGCGGGGCGGGCGTGCGGGGGGCGGGCGTGCGGGGGGCGGGCGTGCGGGGGGCGGGCGTGCGGGGGGCGGGCGTGCGGGGGGCGGGCGTGCGGGGGGCGGGCGTGCGGGGGGCGGGCGTGCGGGGGCGGGCGGGCGGGGGGTGGGCGGGCGCGGGCAGGGGAATCAACATGGTGTTGCACCACACCTTGCTCTGCAGAATCTGGATCTGGATGCTCTGTTTGTCCAACTGCCATTGTTGATCTTTAATTCTGGCAAAGAGCTGCTCAACACTCCTACCCTGAGCCTCCGCCATGGACTGGGGACAGAGAGACCGGTCACAGACTCACAACTCTCTGCCATTGGATACACCTTAAATAGCAAAAACTCTTCACAGCAATTACAGGAACTCTCTCCCTCAAAAGGCTGTGGATTTTGGATTCATTCAAATTTAAGACTGACTTGGATATATTTTTGTTAGTGAAGAGTATGAAGGAACATAGAGCAAAGACGTGCAATTGGAGTTGAAGTCCAGATCAGGAATGAACCAACAGTGGGAGCACCGGCCTGAGGGGCTGAATGGCCTCCCGCTGTGCCTATATGTGTTTTATAAGTGAAACCCACAGCCAATTTGCCCACAGACAGCGATATCACTGACCAACTCATCCGGAGCATTGTCGGTCAGGACAGAGCTCTCTCTTACTGAGATATTACACTGTAACCGCAGCGGCGGCTCAACCGACACAGCTCTGCTGTCAGGAGGATGTCAGTGTGCAAAGCGCCCCCGACCCCCCCCCCACCCCCCCCCCCACCGCCCCCCCGACCCCCCCCACCCCGACCCCCCCCCGCCCGCAGCCGGCGCGCGCGCACAGTCACTCACCCGCACGGCGGTGACGGGGTCGGTGGTGCGGGGCCGCACGAGGCGCTGCACTCTGTCCACCAGCGCCCGGAGACCGCGCTCCGACGTCACACTCTCCGCCTCGGCCGCCGCCGCCCGGAGCCCCGCCCACAGCCGGCGCCGCCGCGCGCTGTGCTCGTGCAGGAGGCCGAGCCGCTGCTGCAGCGCCGCCAGACCGCTGCTGTGGGAGTCCAGGCGGCGCCACAGCTCCCGCACCCGCCCCTGTGTGCGCTCCACAGTCCGCTTCAGCCCGTGGCCCAACTGCAGGAGCCCGTGAGCTATCAGCGTCACCTCCGCCCGGGCCGCCACCTGCCCGTGTCCCCGCCCCGGGGGGGAGCCCTGCCCCGGGGGGAGCGGGAGGGGGGGCCCGAGCCCGAGCCCGAGCCCTGCCCCGGGGGGGAGCGGGAGGGGGGGCCCGAGCCCGAGCCCTGCCCCGGGGGAGCGGGAGGGGGGCCCGAGCCCGAGCCCTGCCCCGGGGGGGAGGGGGGCCCGAGCCCGAGCCCTGCCCCGGGGGGGAGCGGGAGGGGGGCCCGAGCCCGAGCCCTGCCCCG